ATTTTCTTTCACACAACACTCACTTTCAAACAATGAAGCTTTCTGTTGGTTAGCATGGAGAATTCAAGTGGAACTTTTTCACCCTCACATGAAATTGCCTGTTTGTGCAGATTCCCATTGAAATGACTCATATCTTTACCCAGTATTATTTCCAACAAACGGTAACTTCTGTCTCGGGTTTTCCACAGGTTTCAAAAGGGGCAGTAGAGGAGGACAAAGTTCACTCTACTGGACCAGAAGCGGAAAAGGAAATGGAAAGGATCCTTCAGCAGGCACAGGCCAGCCTTATGAAGGCCATTCCTGACCTGGAAGTGAGCAACCAGGTGGACAGCACCCCCTGCCAACCATCCAGCATCTTGCCAGATGAGATGAACTCTCCACTTCCTGTGTCTCCGCTCCCTGGTATGCCGGTCCACTCATATGAATCTTCATATAGACAATTCATTCAGAATGGTTTCATTTAAAAGTAACAACAACAAAAATGATGTTCAGAAAAAAAGGATAAATATGCTATTTAAGGTAAAAATATTTTTTTTATTTATCATTCATTCATAAATATTTTTTACGTTTTGGGGAGTCACACTACATTACAACCTGAACTATTATATGATATTTTTATTATATGAAATTATTTGATGTTTCAGATGCCTTGACATAGTCATGAGAGGCTACAGGGGTTCTTTCTATCATTTCCTGTTTTATGTTTTGTTTTGATTTTCTGCATGTTGGTTGGACCCCATGTTATGTTTTGTCTTTTTAGCTAACTAAAAATCTTTTTTAAAATATTGCAACACACCTCATTATTTTTTTTAATAAACCCAGATTAGCTGGTTCAGATGTGTTTGATTATAGATTGGATCTAATCTGCAGGATTTCTAGCGTTTATTGAGGCACTTTTTATCTTACTTCAAACAGAAGCCGCACCACAGGATGGACCCAAAGCAGATAAACCAGTCCAGACCAGTTTGGAAAGGCCACAGAAGCCGACCATAGAGAATCCCCACAGGGCCAGTGTTGACCGAGTACAGCCCAACCCTGAAACGGTCAGCAAATCGCCTCCCCCTCCCCCTCCACGCAGATTCTACCCCTCTGGAACTGGACTCACCACTGGACGCTCAGGAGAGGTGATCTACACCACCCGGAAAGAGTCCACTAGTGCACAGGTGCATGAGTCATGCTTCCTCTAATTAAGATCACACCATTATTCATGTGACTCAGGCCTTGCTAAACCGCATTCCCAGACAACATGACAATTGTCACTACTATTATTTGAAAACAACACATCTATCGTACAGTGTACCGACTACCTGTAGAAATTTCAGTGTGTTATATTTTGCCTGGGTGTGCCGTTCGCTACATAATGTGTCCTTGTTTTTGTGAATAATAATGACAGAAAGTCATGGTAGAGATTCCAGCTGCTTTTGTTGATTTGAAAGACATAATGGAGGGTGAGGGTCGGTCACACTTGACTGGTTGTTTTGGCTATAGGAGGGTGAAGAGGAGGCCCCAAAGCCCAAACCCTTGCGTGTACCCCCAGAGGTCAAGCCTAAGCCCCGCCCCCCTCCTCCTGTCAACACCTCCACCTTACAAGATGAAGAGGATGAAGGAGATAAGATCATGGCTGAGCTACAGGTGAGCTAACCACAATCATCCTCACAGGAGCCACTCACACAAAGACATGAACGCACACTTATTCTTTTACAAACACATGTACAGAGGAAACCCAAACATACAGGAAGTCTGAGACATGTCAGGGGTGTTAAGGGACAAATATTGAGCCCATACAAACATCAGGTGGCCACACCAGTGTCAACATTTACACAAAAGCATCAAAATGAGGGTACTATGACTCTCTCAGAAGTTTGACTTGTGCTGCCCTCTATTGTTAAGAATGGGTAGGATTTACTATAAATCTGTTTTCATGAATCCGATTTTTTTAAATGTGTATATATATATTTGCTTTTAAGGGTGTTAAATACACTGTAAACTAGGGCTGGGTAAAAATATTGATATCTCGATATTAATCGATTC